AATTCCTTTTTCAGTCATTTCAAGGGTTTCCTGCTTTTACTAGGTCTGGCACTTGAGAATTACTGTATTTTTTTGGTAGTGTAATGTTTGCTTGGGTTTTCATATTTCTAGTATCACTACATTGGTGTCTGGCCATCTGGTAGAACAGTTGTTTTTTCTATTACTTTGGAGTGGGCTTTGAGTAGAAAGAGATCCTCTTCTTTTTATGGTCTTCACTGTTGACTTTCCTTGTGTCAATGCAGTTGAGTGTCTGGCAGGTTGCCTGCATGGTGGCTCTGTCTACTACTGTGGCATAGAGCCACTTTTGTGGCAGCTGTGGCTGTGGTGGTGGCTGTGGTGGGCCACCCACACTGAAGTAGAGTTTTCAGTATGCTCTCTTACATGCTTCCAGGAGGTGGGGGCTGCCCTCAGCTCCTGCCTAGGACCCCAGGCATTGCTCTCCTGCCTGCTTCTGGGGGGGAGGGGCTGCCTCAGCTCCTACCTGGGCCCCTGGGCATTGCTCTCTTGCCTGCTTCTGGGTGGAAGGGCTGCCTTCAGCCTGTTCTACATTATTTAATCCTCTGAGGGGCTTGGCACCCTTCCCCACATACAGAAACATCCTTTCTCCCCCTCTGACTTCACCTTTTGCCAGTCTGCCCCTCCTCTGCTGTACTCCAGCAGCACTGGCTGCCTGGATGTGCCTTGGGCACAACAGGCCTGCTCCTGCCTCAGGGTCTTTGTACTTGATAGTCCCTCTGCCTGGAATGCTGCCCCCCAGAAATTTGCATGGCACACTTTCTCACCTCCTTCAGATCTGGAGGCTTTCTTTGGCCACCTCAATCTAATTTTCAACATGTGCACGCACATGTGTGCACACATGCACACACACACACCACTCTTTCTATTCTCTTTCCCTGCTTTATTTCGTCTCCAGAGAAATCATCACTATCTAACATGTTGTATGTATGTTTTACATATTTGGCTTGGTCATTGGCTACCTCCCCTACCAAGAGATGAGTTTTATTAGGTCAGTGTGTTCATTGCTGTATCCCCAGAGCTTAGAACAGGGCCTGGCACATATTAAGTGCTCAGTTAGTGTTCCCGAGTGAATGAAGGAGAACATTGAGGCTCACAGAGGTCAAGCAGCTTGCTCCTGGTCACATAGCCAGTAAGGGCACAGCTAGGACCTGAAACCTAGGACCTGAAGTCCGTCTGCACAAACCCTTTTCTCTACCGCATGCCTGCTCAGCATGCTGGAAGGTGACATGCGTTCTAGAAGGAAGCACTGCTATACTTTCCTTTCCCTCGTCTTGGTTCCAGTTTGACCAGAAAGAGCAGAAGAGCCTCCTGGGGCCTCGGAAGGATTACTGGGACTTTCTCTGCACTGCCCTGCGGCAGCAGCAGCGGGGTGACACAGAGCTGACCTGCTTCATCCGCTCACAGGACAAGGTATCCAGGGTCAGGTGGTAGGAAGGCTGACCTGAAAAGCATGGTGGGCCCCACCACCAGGCCTTGATGGGAATGGCTGCTGGGGCTGGGGAAGGGGATAGGGCCCACCCGAGGCCGCTTTCACGTAGTCCCTGCTGTGATGGCTGAGCTCCCACAGTCCTAATACCATCCTCCCTTTTTTGTCCCCTGTACCTCTGCAGTTGAAGACGCCCTTGGGTAAAGGCCGTGCCTTCATCCGCTTCTGCCTGGCCCACAGACAGCTGGCTGAGTCCCTGCAGCTCTGCCTCCTGAACCCAGAGCTCACCAGGTGGGGGCGCCTGTATATTGTCCTACAAATACCGCCTAAGACCACTTTCCCTCCCTCATGAAAGTGCCTTCCTTCCTCCAGATGGATGATTTAACATCAAGGACGATTAAAATGAGAGTCAGAAAGGAGTAGTCAGGGAAGTAAGGGGAGAAGGGAGGGTAAAACCCAGGAGTCCTGCTAGAATAATGGTGCTTCGGCCTCTGCTCCCAACGGGCTACCATCCTAGATGGGGAACAGTCCCATTATGGTATATAGTGAAGGCAGAACTCTGGGATCAGAGGTGATAATAGCAATAGAGTAAAAGTTTAAGGGTGCTGATCATGGTAAATACAGGGAATGGTATGGCCCCCGGAGCCCGCTGTTGTGTCCTGACCTCCGAGAAGACATTCTGGACTCTCTCTACACTCTCAATGGGGTGGCCTTTGACTTGGACCTGCAGCAGCCAGATCTGGATGGGGCCTGGCCCATGTTCTCAGAGTGAGTGGGTGCAGCGTGGAAGGAGACTCTCTTCAATGCCTCTCCCATTACCACATGCACCCCAAGCGAGCCCCAGGCTCTCAGCCTCCATCCGCTTCTCCTTCCCTTCTTGCTCACTGATGCCTGATCCTCCACTCCCTAGCCTTCCCTTTTCCCAGTGTATCGTCATGCTATCCTATCATGCTGTATAGAATACACACTCCCTAAGGATTTGTTGGAGGGTTGAAAGGATGAATGGAGGGTGGAATACTAGGATGGAATATATGGAGGAACAGAGAGTGGGATGCATGAAGGAGGAGGGGGGAATGCAGGAGGCATGGTAGGATTAAGTGGTCATGTGAGAGATAGGGTATCCTCCATCTGAGGACCAAGTTCACCACTAAAGAAAGGCCTAGGGTTCCCTGCCTCTTTCACTTTCAGATCACGCTGTTCCAACTCCAGCCAGACCCAGGGCAGAAGACCTAGAAAGACCAAAGGTTCCCCAAAGAAGGTACCTCTACCCCACCTTCACTCTAAGTTGCCTCTTCCCCATCTTGCTGAAACCCCCAGGTTGGGCAATAACTGGGCTTCCCCCTCTGAGTGTATACAGAGCCCTGACCCAACTGGACAGACAGAGGACAATGTGTGGACCAGGGACTGGGGAGCCACAGGGGAGGAGAGGGCTCATATTCCTAGGGATACCTGGGAGAAAAAGAAAACAAGCACTAGCGCCATTCGCAGGAGCCACAGGGCCCAAGGGAGGAGGTATTGGGGAGGGCGACTGGAATCTTGCAGGAAACAGACCAGGGAGACATACTCTGCCATGTCCCCTGCACTGGACAATTTGCACACGCCTAGCTCAGTTCATGACTAAAGAGCCAGATTGCCTAGTTCGAATCCCAGCTCCACCCCTTAATAACCCATGGGCCTTGGGCAGGTTACTTGTCCTGCCTTGTGGTATGACTGTGAGGATGAAGTGATACAACCCGTGTGCAGCCCAGAGCAAGGCTCCTGGCCACATACTCATGGCATGGCAGCTGTGGTCATCACTGGGTAGCAGCAGTCCACAAGCACGTTAGCTCCAGGCTCCAGGTGCAGATGCTATTAGGATTCAGTTTCTGACCTGAAGGAGTTCAAGTTCTGTCCAGGTAGTCTGGCCCTAAAGGAACACATTGCCATACATGTTAAGTGTAGTGACACAGACATGGACCGAGAACACGGCACACAGAGAAGGCTTCTTGAGAGAGGTCTCTCTCAACTGGGGGTCGGTCTCTGAGCTTTCATCACAACCCTATAAACATGGTATTATAATTCCTATTGTGCAGATGAGAAAACTGAAACATAAAGTCAAGTTCAGGAGGAAGGGTCAAAGGAGAGAGGTGCAAGGAACTTGGGGGAACCAGATCAACACAGGAGACCCGGGTGGAGGAGGGACATGGGCTAGGGGCAGGGGAGGACCAGGCATTGGGAGGCTCTGCTGTTCCCTCACCATACCAAAGCTGATGCCTCAGATCACCTGGGATGAGCCAGAATTCAGCTTTCTGGTCTGATAAATCAAAATTTCCAGTGGGGGGAGGGGGCCAAGAACCCAGATTTAGCAACCGCCTTGCATTAGGGCGCAGCCTCTCCCACGCTCCAGGCTAATGAATTGGTGCTGAGAGGGATGATGGGTTCTGGGGGTTTCCCTGCAGATATCAGCAGCATTTGGAGGCTCCAAGGGAGTCCAGCTGCAGGAGCTCCAAGGGAGTCCAGCTGCAAGAGTCACACACCCGTCAAGCCGGCTGTCTTCGAGAGGAACCCAGGGAAGATTGGATGGCTGGACTCTCTGGGTCCCAGGAACACAAACATCTTCCCCACATATTGGGAAAGAGGAAAGAAGATTCCAGGAGCTGCGGGTCCCCCCAGAGCATGTGGGAAGCAGAGGGGGAGGGGCTTCAGCTAGACCAAGAGGAGGGAACCCCAAAGACAGGGATCCTCCTGCAGAGTTCCTCACCCAGCAGTCAGAGACACAGGGAGGGGGACAAGAGTTCCCAAAAGGAGGCGATAGGGACGGAGGCCGAGGGTACAGGGCCTCTGCCAGGTGCAGAGGTTCAGAGAATAACAGAGGGCACTCAGGAAGGGGAGGCAGGGTGGGGCCATGTCCAGAGGCTGCNACTGATGCCTGATCCTCCACTCCCTAGCCTTCCCTTTTCCCAGTGTATCGTCATGCTATCCCATCATGCTGTATAGAATACACACTCCCTACGGATTTGTTGGAGGGTTGAAAGGATGAATGGAGGGTGGAATACTAGGATGGAATATATGGAGGAATGGAGAGTGGGATGCATGAAGGAGGACGGGGGAATGCAGGAGGCATGGTAGGATTAAGTGGTCATGTGAGAGATAGGGTATCCTCCATCTGAGGACCAAGTTCACCACTAAAGAAAGGCCTAGGGTTCCCTGCCTCTTTCACTTTCAGATCACGCTGTTCCAACTCCAGCCAGACCCAGGGCAGAAGACCTAGAAAGACCAAAGGTTCCCCAAAGAAGGTACCTCTACCCCACCTTCACTCTAAGTTGCCTCTTCCCCATCTTGCTGAAACCCCCAGGTTGGGCAATAACTGGGCTTCCCCCTCTGAGTGTATACAGAGCCCTGACCCAACTGGACAGACAGAGGACAATGTGTGGACCAGGGACTGGGGAGCCACAGGGGAGGAGAGGGCTCATATTCCTAGGGATACCTGGGAGAA